TGGCTTGCTTAACTCCACCACCTAATTTACGAATCAGTGGTTCTGGCTCTGCCATCTTGGGTGATCTTGTCTTATGCCATACCACAGATGATCCAGACGCACGTGTAAGACAAGCTGCCCTTTGCTGCGTACATGCTTGGCTCTATCCTTTTGCTAGAATATACGAGCCTCAGGATTTAAATCTTCCTTTATTTAACCTCCTTCCTCATGTCCGATTTAAAAGAAGAAGCGTCCTGTCGGAAGGTGATGCCTGGATAAAGGCTAGACTCAACCAAGTATACGCGTACGCATGCGATGGCTTGCGTGATGATGAAGAAATGGTAATTATACCTCCGATTTTATTGGCAGCCATAGCCTGCCAAAACAGGATTCCTCATGCATATTCGACTTATTTTTTATCATACATATGCTTTTATTAGGTTCGTCAAACCAGCCTACATGTTATCTGCCTTATGGGGCATCTTTGGCCGGATGCTCAGATACCTGAAACTAATTATGATGACCATTACTTTGGCTCGGACATCTATAACTCTGGCTCTCTATCGTTAAAAATCAATACCCATCGGGCTGCTGTACGCGCCTCGACGCCGCCTCCATCTGCCTCTTCTCATAGCTCATCCAGTGAATCGCGGGGTCAGTTTGGCACCAGAAATCGCTCCCCACTTGTGGGATCGAATTCCCCAGTTGGAAAAAACAGGCCTCGTTCTCGCTCTCCTCACGCAAGCTTTTTTCACTCTGGCCAGCAGATTAATTACACTAGCCGATCTCAATATCAACAACAGTCTGGAGAAACATATCATGAAACTAGAGGTTCCTTAACTGACTTGATACTTTGAAATTTTTTGCCTCAACATAAAATTATTTTCATTACTACTACCTAGCTGGAATTTGTTCACGCTCATCGACTCCGCCACCCTCCTCTAATTTCGCTGATTTTGATGGCAGTAGACAATGCGATTTGATTAAAGCCTCTGACGGCTCTTTAACTGAGGCTCCCAGGCGGAGACGGCTTGTGGATGATGTCTTCTTCCGTGTCTGCTTACACCTACAGGATCCTAGCAGGCGCGTTCGCCAGCTCGCTGCTCGTTTGATTCGAGTGTTGACCACTGTAAATAAATATTTTTATGATTATTTAAATCCTTTGGAGTTCTTATTCGTACTTTTACGCGTATTTCTTTAGGGATGTCTATTTATTTTCGAAAGTATTTTTGGCTGCTGAGTATCTTGCATTTGCTATATTTTAAGTTGTGAAGGTAAATTTCCTAGAATAATGTTAATTTGAGAAAATCAAGCATCCATATTTCATTGTGACACAAATGGATCAAAATGTCTGCTAATTTACTCATGTTAACTATAAGTTTTCTCAGCCGTTCGAAATTATGAGCATTCTTTGCCGGCTTTCTCATTGGGGGTCCTAACATTGCTCGTTAACTCACGTTATTGCTGATAAACTTATTTTAAAGCATAGCAAATATAGTTAAGCACACAGATTCCTGCAATCTTACCTTTCAAAACTGATTGGATTCATTGACTTCTTTAATTATTTGGCTTATATGCTTTTGCAAAAAAATCAAATAATTTGTTATGATAAACCAACTGAAAATGTGTGCAAATGCCTTCAAGTTTT